GCATTGCTTTAATATGATCGCATTTGTATGGTTAAAAGCTTCAGATCCAAGCACTGTGTTCACTGTTCATTTTTGTTCTGATCTGACAGAATCGCTGTGATGAACACGAAAATTTGCTTGAAAATTTTGCTTTTGTTTCGAATTTAACAAGCTATGCTTGAAACCCGAAACTGCGAAGGAGACAGGTGCAGATTTGATGAATGGATCAATCCGACGTGCGGAATGAGCAACGATAAAAGGCAGATTTATGGCTTTTTTAAGGGTTGTGAGAGCAGAATTTTTTTTTTCAGTCGAATTGCTAGCTGTTTTCAGTTCTCTGTAGTTTTGTATTTATATAGTGCAAGAAATAATTTCTGTACACATCTTTTTCCCTAAACTGCACATCTGAATCTTAAGTGAACTACACGTACCAAAAAAGATCGTTTGGATTTGTATGTGAAATTTCTGATCGCAGATGCTTGACTTTCAAGATGTGAAGGTTAAATCCTAGATGCGTCATCTTCAGGAGCCCACGTTTCCGATCTTTTTTTCTCTTGCAAGTGGCAGTAGCGTTGCATCGAGTTCCACTGTAATTTATAGATTATGATCCATTGGAATACGACATCCTAGCAGCAAGGAGACGAACAATGGCAGCAGCAGCACAGCGATCTGCAGCTCATGCTCTTGCAAACGTCAGTGATAAAAGCGAAAATATGCAGAAGCTGCTAGCTGCCATAACGGTGAGCTCTTTGCTTGAGGCAGCGCTAAAGCACAATGCCCAGAGATTCAGAAATGTACCTTTTTAAAATCCAAACGTGAGGTAGAGATTCCTTCGAAATTCCTTTGAGGTCCGTTCGGAATTTGAAGAATTTTCTGTTTACCTCACTTATTCCGGCCTCTTCCTTTTCGTTGTTTGCTTATAGCCTTCGCATTTTTCCAATAAAAATTCATCTATTTTCCAAGGAAAACTGTTTTCATAAGTGCAGTATGATTTCAAGGCATCACATCAAAACCCGTCCCGTATTCGTTGTGAGTGAGCGTCTACGGCACTGTGGAGTATTCCCCGGGGTAAAAGCAGCCCCTTTAGCAAGCGCCAAAAGCAACCACTCGCTGGCAAAGGCGTTTAATAGCTTCTTATTTTCGGGGTTGCTTATCAGCAAGCTGATGGCAGAATTGTCACGTATTGTACACATAATTTTCTATCTGCTGAATACGAAAGCAGATGCTGTCATGATAAGACTTGCTCACCGATTCTTGACTCCCTAGCCAAGAAATTTAGCAGAAGCAAACAGCAGCTCCCGATGCATTCGGAACCGGTCGTCATGAGCAAAAGTACAGTCCGTTAGAGCAGCAATTTGTTGAGTTAGCCAGAATTTCGACAGCCAAAGATTCAATTATCGAGCAGCAGCGTGCTGATATAAAACTCGCCAATGAAACGCTGGAGCAGAAAGAAAGGTGGAATTAAGTGTTTTTCTTTGATCCTATACTTTTCTTGATCCTGTGCTTTTCTGTACATGCTCTTGCTTTTTTTTACTCCCTCCTGAAAATTTGTTCTATGCTTAGCAGCGCTAGAAAATGTGAAGACTGTGCTATGGCGAAGGCTGTTTTCTTTTGTATCTTGTTTGACCAAACATTAAGCTGTCCATCAGATGGCAAATCGTGGGAAAGAACATTAGATTTTCAACGTAAGGCTATAGAAACTTCCCAGAATCGAATGATGGATACTATTTTCATTTGAACTACTTACAAAA